TTCATACTTGATCCGGGTCAACAAAAATTTTTTCATCGCTGTAATGCAGTTTTTCATATTTTTGGGGGGTTTTTTGCATTTTACTAAAATCTGGGACCTGACCGAGCCCAACGGACTTCAAATTCGGATTCAGCGGGTCGAAAAACATGTCCGTAGATGGGTCCGGTCAAATGCACAAACCACTTTTTTTTTTGTGTGCCGGTGTAATTTGTACTTTATAATAAATTTAACTATAATATTAGTTTTAAAATGCACTTATTCTTAGATTTAGTTGAATAGATTTTTTAAAAACATGTATAAACTTTTTAGACAAACACTAATTTAAATTTTTTTAACTGTAGTTCATTTTTTAGTTCTTCTTAAAGAATTCATCTATCTGAAAAATACGAAGTTGGTATCTTTTATCATGCTTTATCTTAAAAGTTCTCCGTACTTTTGTAATTTTCATCAATTACAGATAAAAGCGTTCGCATATTTTGTTTCTAAAAACGTCGTTATAATTGTTTTCTTGATAAGACATACAGTCTCGTACTTCATAAAGTTTTTTTTTTAAACGGCTCAATATTTGAATATTTATTTAAAATATTTATTTAAAGTTGTTCAATATTAAATTTTCTTAATTCTTTACATTTTTTTACATTTTTTATATTAGGAATTTGTGTGACTTAATATGAATTTATTGTAAATTCAAAATATACAGTTTTTAATGTTAAGATAATTAATAAAATTTCTTCATTAAAAATAAATATTTCATAAATCGTCTTCATAGCATTCAACTAAAATTATATTTTTACAATAATGTGTCATGTACTGTTATTGTTGGTGATCACATCATTTGGCAGGTCAGTCAATTAGTAAAAAATATGCGTTTAACTGTATAAAATAACACAAATAAAATGTGTAAAAAAAATAACACGCGTACAAATGCGTAAAATGACTACAAGATTTTACACATTTAAGTGTATAAAAATTACATACTTAGATTTGCAGTTTAATGTTAACAAAGTGCAATTTTTGACTATTAGTAGACCGTTTAGTGGCAATATTCACAATGTTACATACAACGTTTAAGTGTTAAAAAATCAGAAAATGCAGGAAATATAAGACTTCCGCTGTAATGTATAGTGATAGACATGCGCGCACACACAACTACAAACACATGTTTCATAATGGAGATAAATAATTTTCCTAATATTGGAGATATCTACATTTACACTCGAGTACAATAAGTTTATGTTTTTGTTTAAGATTATTTAAAAGTTTCTAGCGCGTCGAGATTGTCCGCGATTTTTCAAAAATTGCCAAATGCGGTTTTTAAATATTTCCATTTTTCTGAAGAATGTGACGTGATAAACAAATTATGAGGGCAACACCGTTTTCAGCACCCAAAAACTACAGAAAACCACTCTCTTTTTTCAGAAAACTTTTAACATGCGACCAGTATAATTATATGCATCAGACTAAAATGTTTGCAAATAATATATTTGCGTACCTATATGAGTGCAAAGGCTAATATTAATTTACGCGAATATGTATGAAATTTTAACTTGCCTCGTGAATCAAGAAGCTCCAATACATTTCCAGCAATCGGATAACCTGGTGGTCCTGGTATGAGGTTTATAAGACGTCTGTTTCTCCCATAATGTCCATAATAATTCCACATCAATGTAATAAGGATGAAAAATAGCAAAATAGTAATAAACATTGCTTGATGAAATTATCAACCGGTTTAATTGAGTTTTGTTTTCTTTGACTTGACTCTTTGCTCCTCTAATTTTTAAAATCACAAGAAATATTAAATATATATATATATACATGTATATATAATTATTTGCTTAAGAAAATTATTGGTATTCTAAATGTGTTTAACGAGTCAAAAATACAGTAAAACACGTTATATATGTTTTATTGTTAAGAACTCAAAGGAAATTTAATGTATTCTTTACGCAAATGTGTGCAACAAATATATTTTCATTGGTAAAGCCAATAAAATGTTAGATATCTTTAGTTATAAACTAAACTTTTTTAATTTTTAATTATCTTAAAACTATTATGTCATTTTAAATAAAAGTGTTACACGCGAGCAAAGTGAAGTTTTTTTATTAATCGCTTGCGAATAATGTGTTTACTTTTATAATATTTTTTGTTTGCTTATTATAACGATTTGAACAATGTTGATGATAGTAATGTCTAATTATAATTCAGGAACTTTTTATTATTATCTGTCGTACTACACACAATGCGATTTTTTGTGCTAGATTGAATGGAAATAGAAATGGA